TGAGTGTGCCTTAAAAGTCGTGGAGACAAGAACTTTGTCCTTGGAGGCAGAGAGAGGAATGTTGGAGTAAAAAGTTTTACCAAAAGTCTTATATGGGTGTAAGCATGGGGATGAATGTTGCAGCGAGGAGAAGGTGGAAGCAGTGGACAGTCATGTCAGGGCAATGTGTGGGGGAATATAATGCAGAAATTCGTAGTTTGGAAGTTAGGGGGGGTGCGGGGGTTTCCAAAAAAATGTTGTCCAAGGGGTGAGGGAAGGGTTGTTGAGGGGGTTCGGGCATGTAAGGGAAGGAGCGAAAACAGAAAAGACTTTAAGAGTGTATCTCTGAGGGGAAGGGGGGGGGTGGGGCGGCCCAGGAAAGGTTGGAGGGAGGGGTAAAGGGTTTTGGGCGAGGGGGTTGGCTTCCCGCAGGCATGCGGTTTAGTGTGTTTTTTATAGGGGTGAATGGGGACAAAATGTTTTAAAAACTTGAGTGGTTGGAGTGTGAGCAAAATAAAATTTATAAGGGGTTCGGGGAAAAGGCAGGCCGGACTTGAGTCCTGAAAATGGGAAGTACAGTGCCTGCACTCTGAAGGAGGGGTGTTAATGTTGCCGTTTAAAAACTGTAGTGTAAAGCACCCTTCTGGCAAGACAGTGATGGAGTGAATGATGGTGAAAGTTTTTCTTTTTTGGGCCACCCTACCTTGGTGGGAATCGGCCAGTGTGATAATAATAAAAAATAATCATTTTTGATGTCCATCCATTTGGCAAAGATTTCCTTAATGAAGTAGGGGCTTCCTCTATCTCCTTTTCTGAGCTTGAAGATCAGAGTGCATCCATCTTAGCCTTGTGCTCCTCTTTCTCAAGTTCCTGCAGCTCCTCAGTGGTCAGCTCTTCCCTGTGCCCCTCCTCTAACTCCTCCACATCACCATCACTCTCATCCAGACCCATGGACCTGCCCAGAGACAATATCCTCCACTATAGACACAGCCTCAAAGCCCTCAAAGTCCCTTTCAGCCACTGCTTCTGGCCACAAATTCCTCCAAGCAGAGTTCATTGTTCTGTATGAAACTTCCTGCCAGGCTTTGTCAATGAGAGTTATGCAATGGGCAATAGTAAAGTGATCTTTCCAAAACACTCTTAGGGTTAACTCTGTGTCAGAGGTCACTTCAAAGAACCCCTGGAATAGTGCTTTAGTGTAGTTTCTTGAAATTACTGATGACCTGCTGATCCATGGGCTGAATGAAGTTGTGTTAGGGGAAGAAACTTTACAGTGGTGAAGTCAAACTTCGGCAGCACATAGTCCTGCAAGCTTGGAGGGTGAGCTGGAGCATTGTCCATTATGAGGAGGGCCTTTAGAGGCAGGTTTTTCTCATCTAAATTACTTTTTACACTTGGCCCAAACATAACATTAAACCATTTGCTAAAATATTCTCTGGTTACTCAAGCCTTGCTGTTTGACCTCCACATCACAGGTAACAGTTTTCCGCACGTTATGTTTTTTAAAGGCCCTTGGGTTTTTAGAGTGGTAGATCAGTAGAGGCTTCAGTTTGTAATCCCCACTTGCATTGCACAGAACAAGAGAGTTTAGCCTATCCTTCATTGGCTCGTGTCCTGGTAATTCCTTCCCTTGTGTAATATAGGTCCAGTTTAGCATTTTCTTCCAAAACAGGCCTGTTTTGTTACAATAAAAAACTTGTTGGGAAACAAAACCCTCAGCCTCCACAAAATTCCCTCAAATCTGTAACAAAATCATTGGCAGCATCTTTATCAGCACTGGCTCCCTCTCCATGCCTCACAACACTGTGAATGCCAGTCCTCTTAAAATTATCAAACTAGCCATGGCTGCCTTTAAACACTTCACTTTCTTGGCTTGTTCCTGCCTTGTTTTTCAAAAGATCGGCATGCATCAGTTTTGCTTTTCCACAAATCATTGCCTCTGATACGCTATCACCGGCACACTGTTTTTCTGTTACCTAGATCAAAAGCGAGCAGTGTCGTGACTCATTTTGACTTGTACAAGTTCTAGCACGCAAGTCGTATTCCAAACAGAGGTCATGTACCAAGCAAAAATCTTTGCATCCAAACAGGACGTATACCAAGTTGGACTTATTCCAAAGCGGATGTATGCCGAGGTACCATTGAATTAATTTCTGATTTTATGTATTAATCAGTTATAATATAAAAAATGGAACATAGTTTGTAATTAAAATCATAGCCTTGTCCTCTTTTTATTTGGAGATATGCCCCAGAAAAGAAAAGTTGTTCAATTAGTGCTGCTTAATCAATCACTTCAAAACGAACATCATTTTTTTTTTCAACAAGCCGGCCATATCCCACCAAGGCTGTGTGGCCCAAAAAGAAAAACGAAAGTTTTTCTTTTTTATTTATTTATTTTTTTTATTATCACACTGGCCGATTCCCACCAAGGCAGGGTGGCCCGAAAAAGAAAAACTTTCACCATCATTCACTCCATCACTGTCTTGCCAGAAGGGTGCTTTACACTACAGTTTTTAAACTGCAACATTAACACCCCTCCTTCAGAGTGCAGGCACTGTACTTCCCATCTCCAGGACTCAAGTCCGGCCTGCCGGTTTCCCTGAACCCCTTCATAAATGTTACCCTGCTCACACTCCAACAGCACGTCAAGTATTAAAAACCATTTGTCTCCATTCACTCCTATCAAACACGCTCACACATGCCTGCTGGAAGTCCAAGCCCCTCGCACACAAAACCTCCTTTACCCCCTCTCCTCCAACTTTTCCTAGGCCGACCCCTACCCGCCCTTCCTTCCACTACAGACTGATACACTCTTGAAGTCACTCTGTTTCGCTCCATTCTCTCTACATGTCCGAACCACCTCAACAACCCTTCCTCAAGCCCTCTGGACAACAGTTTTGGTAATCCCGCACCTCCTCCTAACTTCCAAACTACGAATTCTCTGCATTATATTCGCACCACACATTGCCCTCAGATATGACATCGCCACTGCCTCCAGCCTTCTCCTCGCTGCAACATTCATCACCCATGCTTCACACCCATATAAGAGCGTTGGTAAACTATACTCTCATACATTCCCCTCTTGCCTCCAAGGACAAAGTTCTTTGTCTCCACAGACTCCTAAGTGCACCACTCACCCTTTTCCCCTCATCAATTCTATGATTCACCTCATCTTTCATAGACCCATCTGCTGACACGTCCACTCCCAAATATCTGAATACATTCACCTCCTCCATACTCTCTCCCTCCAATCTGATATCCAGTCTTTCATCACCTAATCTTTTTGTATCCTCATAACCTTACTCTTTCCTGTATTCACTTTTAATTTTCTTCTTTTGCACACCCTACCAAATTCATCCACCAATCTCTGCAGCTTCTCTTCAGAATCTCCCAAGAGCACAGTGTCATCAGCAAAGAGCAACTGTGACAACTCCCACTTTATGTGTGATTCTTTATCTTTTAACTCCACGCCTCTTGCCAAGACCCTTGCATTTACTTCTCTTACAACCCCATCTATAAATATATTAAACAACCATAAATTTAGTAATTTGTACAGGAGAAGGGGTTACTAGCCCCTTGCTCCCGGCATTTTAGTCACCTCTTACAACACGCATGGCTTACAGAAGAAGAATTCTGTTCCACTTCCCCCATGGAGATAAAGGAAATAAACAAGAACAAGAACTAGAAAGAAAATAGAAGAAAACCCAGAGGGGTGTGTGTATATATATTATATATATATATATATATATATATAATATATATATATATATATAATTATAATATATATATATATATATATTATATATTATATATTATATATTATACAGTGGACCCCGCATAACGATTACCTCCGAATGCGACCAATTATGTAAGTGTATTTATGTAAGTGCGTTTGTACGTGTATGTTTGGGGGTCTGAAATGGACTAATCTACTTCACAATATTCCTTATGGGAAACAAATTCGGTCAGTACTGGCACCTGAACATACTTCTGGAGTGAAAAAATATCGTTAACCGGGGGTCCACTGTATATATATGTATATATATATATATATATATATATATATATATATATATATATATATATATATATAATATATATATATATATATATATATATATATGCGCTTGTACATATATGTGTAGTGTGACCTAAGTGTAAGTAGAAGTAGCAAGACGTACCTGTAATCTTGCATATTTATGAGAGACAAAAAGACACCAGCAATGAACATCATATATTATTTAAAACATATTTCTATAGATAGCTCTGGAGATGAAAGGTGTTTAGGAAGACGTAAGTAAAACAGTACAAAGTATGGTTTTTGTCCCATGTTTAGTAGTGAAATACTGATGTAATCAGTCCATCAACCTTGGAGAAAAAGTATTTAAGGTGGTCAGTGCTTCAGCCTGGAGAGATGGTCAGTTCCTCTGCCTGGAGAAGAGTTCAGCTTCATGGTCTGGAATGATATGAAGCTGAAACATGAGAATAGAGTCTTAGGTGATGGACTGATTATATCATATCCCATGTTATATTGATGGGGAGCACTAAACTCTCAGGGATCTTACAATGTCTTAGGAAAAATAGGTATTCAGGTTTGATTCAAGGATGGTAGATTAGTTCTACTTGCTTAGATCAAAAGCACTTGAGCTGCATTAAGGCACCACTCCCACAAAATGTCTATGGAAATATGAGACAGCATAAGTAAGTTTATTCAGGTAAACACAAATAGTTGCTTAGATTATCATACATAGCATCATATGTGTAGAGAACCTAGGATAACTTAAAAAAAAAAGTCGGGCAACTAAGCCTAAAAATGCATATACAGTACACACATTACTTAAAAATATTTTCATCCTTAGCTTATAGTGAGTGGTGAATGTGTATTTATTGAAGGAAGTCTTAATAAATGAAGAATGTGTATAACTGAAAACTGCCACATTAGTAAAACACTAAGGCAGCGAAGCACTGTAAAGCAGGGTCCCCCCTGTAAATGTTGTTCATTATTAAAATTTTATATAAACTGCAAATGGATTTTATTTCAGTTTCTGGTGCATTTTAAGCAGACACAAGAAGGGCTACAAAGATACACACTCAAAGACACAAGAGGCAGTTGGATTAACCTGTGTTGAGGATAGTGAGAATGAAAAACAAAAAAGATTAGCAGTTGTTAAGGAAAAACTTTTCTTGCTGTTGGTAAGTTTTCTGTTTACTTTTTGAGAACTTGAGTCCTGCACTTGTATAAATAATAATAATAATAATTATTATTTTACAAACATTTGTTTCAGATTTCATTGTCAGGGATGCGAATAAAAATATTAAAATGCAGCATTTGACGTAATTCTCATAGAGACTGAATTAATTTTAAAGAATAGTAATGTAATACCAAATTTTATTATAATTTTGAGCCACTTTCAAAACCTTTTAATTGATGAGCACTTAAATATGCCTTTCATTACTCCCCGGTTTTCATACTCCCCAGCTTCCATGTAAAACCACAGTTATTCTCTATAAAATGTATTTTTTTTTATATTTCCCATAAAAAATAATGTAAATCCAATTAATCCACTCCAGACACCCAAAAAATATTAACAAGAAATACATTTTATGGAGAATAACTATGGTTTTACATGCAAGCTGGAGAGTATGAAAACTGAGGGTCCACTTATATCAAATATAAAAAATGAAGACCCAGTTCTGGATCAGGGAGAGCAAAGTCACTGGATAACAGCATCATATCCTGAATCAGTTAGTCAGATTTATTTCACATGATACAAAGTTTATACAGAAATGGGTGATGCTTGATTATATGCAAAAAGCCCTTAGTTATGCAGAAGATTTTGGCCAAGTAAAGCTATTGTTATCCTCTGTATATAACATTGAATTACTGCAGCAAGCATGTCAGCCAAATTTCATTTACATAGCACCCATTAATCACACTGTGCAACAGTAGATTGTTCAGTGAAATGTCTCTCTTGGAATGTAGTTGTAATCGACAGCCCAGCCACAATGCCATATTTGATTTGTGGCTTATTACTGGATGTGGTAATTCTAGAGGCTGCTGAAAAGGTGAAGACTAAACTGTTCAGTTAAGTGCATTCAATGTTAAGAGATCATGCATGCTCAACTTCGAGTTGATTCTGATTACCTGAGGCTACCTGAATCTTCCATTGTTATATAACCCATGTAGAGTACACTGACTAGAGACAGCAGGTCGGTTCATTAAAGATAATGAAGGTCATTTTTGTTGTGATGTATCTGTGTTAGAGAAACATTGTGAAATACATTTCTGCATTTTATAAAAACGATACGTCAGTTTTTCATATTGTACCAAATGAATTTCACTCTATTTCCTGCTAACTAATTGTCTGTGGGGAATTCACTAAACTGAATTGCAAAAAACTTGTATATACAGGTATTACACTCTGTTGCTTGACAACTGATTAGATTAGATTAGATTTTGCCACCTAAGTGGCTGTTTATTGTGCACCCATATCCATCCTGTGGACGTAGGCAAGAGCATATGATACACAATATGCTGGAACTAGGCCCCAAAGGGTTAACATGGAATACTTTTGCGTTTATATCTACAAATCTATAGTTCAAAAGAGAATTTAAAGGTGAATTACAGGAAGAGTAAGGTTATGAGGATGACAAAAGATTAGTAGTGATGAAAGATTGAATATCGGATTGGAGGGAGAGAGTATGGAGGAAGGTGAATGTATTCAGTATTGGGGTGGACGTGTCAGCGGTGGGTCTTGAAGATGAGGTGAATTCATAGCATTGATGAGGGGATAAAGAGTGAGTGGTGCACTTAGGAGTCCTGTGGAGACTAAGAACTTTGTCCTTGGAGGGCAAGAGGGAATAGTTTGAGATGTATAGTTTACCAAACGCTCTTATATGGGTGTGAAGCATGGGTGATGAATTTTGCAGCGAGGAGAAGGCTGGAGGCAGTGGAGATGTCATGTCTGAGGGCAATGTGTGGTGTGAATATAATGCAGAGAATTCGTAGTTTGGAAGTTAGGAGGAGGTGCGGGATTACCAAAACTGTTGTCCAGAGGGCTGAGGAAGGGTTGTTGAGGTGGTTCGGACATGTAGAGAGAATGGAGCGAAACAGAATGACTTCAAGAGTGTATCAGTCTGTAGTGGAAGGAAGGCGGGGTAGGGGTCGGTCTAGGAAAGGTTGGAGAGAGGGGGTAAAGGAGGTTTTGTGTGCGAGGGGCTTGGACTTCCAGCAGGCATGCGTGAGCGTGTTTGATAGGAGTGAATGGAGACAAATGGTTTTTAATACTTGACGTGCTGTTGGAGTGTGAGCAAAGTAACATTTATGAAGGGGTTCAGGGAAACCGGCAGGCCGGACTCGAGTCCTGGAGATGGGAAGTACAGTGCCTGCACTCTGAAGGAGGGGTGTTAATGTTGCAGTTTAAAAACTGGAGTGTAAAGCACCCTTCTGGCAAGACAGTGATGGAGTGAATGATGGTGAAAGTTTTTCTTTTTCGGGCTACCCTGCCTTGGTGGGAATCGGCCAGTGTGATAATAAATAAAATAAAATCTATAGTTCACTTATCTGTTGCAAGCAAATTTAGGAAATTTGCTTAGTATATCTGGTATCTTATTTTCATTAATAAGATATCTTGACATGTCACATAGGTTATTATACTGTCTGTCTCTGTATTCCTCAATAAGTGGACAATTAAGCACATAGTGTTCAAGAGAGTGACCATATGCCTGATCACATAATTTACATTTAGTTTGATCATCATCTGTGTGTCTCCCAAACTGCCAGAAGTACTTGTAACCAAGCCTAAGCCTGGCCACTACAACATCAGTCAGTACTTGTAACCAAGCCTAAGCCTGGCCACTACAACATCAGTCAGTACTTGTAACCAAGCCTAAGCCTGGCCACTACAACATCAGTCAGTCTGTTCACATTGCAAGTTGCTCCATAAACATACTTATCTACGTTCATGTTATCATAGTGGGTTATAGATCTACTCAGGCTTCTAACTGCATTCCTATAACAATCATTTTCATTATTTGCTTCTCTCCTAATATTATTCCTAATGCTAGACACAGTTATGCCAAAGTTATATTCTACATTCTCCTGGGTACTCTTCTTGGCTAACATATCAACTTTATCATGAAGGAGTAATCCAATGTGTGATGGATGCAGTTCAAGATTTTTCAATATTATAGATGGAAATAAGTTACTGACTTTTTTGGGGGTTATCCTAGGAAATTGTGCTTGTGCACCTGTGCCTAAATAAACTTACGATCATCTTGAATTTCGAGGTTTTCCTCGTCTGAGACTCCCAGGAGGTTCAGTGCTTAATCTCACTGTGACCCCTTAAAAAATCAACTTGTTAGGATTTTTTCCCCACGTTTGGTTGAATTTGGCTTAATGTTCTTGGATAAATGGGAGGTAATCAGATTTAATTGGATGAAAATGAGGATAGCTTCATATCATTGGACCAAGAGCACTTTGCTGAAAGGTTATTTACTTCATTCCCCTCAAGGAAGGCTCCTTGACGCTGGTGAGGGGCTCTTGATCTAGGGAATTGGATCTGTGCTCCAGTTCCCTGAATTAAGCCTGAATGCCTTCCATCCCCCCATAGGCGCTGTATAATCCTACGGGTTTAGTGCTTCCCCCTTGATTATAATAATAATAATAATATTTACTTCATTTCTTTTTCCTCAAATGTATAAATATTTGTTGATTATATGTTCTTTATATACATAAGTGGTCTTGCATATAATACAGATTAGCGAAGTAAAGAAATAGTGATTGTGTTCCTTTCCACGTTGATAGAACTTCGTTATTAAATTTAATAATTTTTTTTGTTCATGAATGCATTGATTTAAAAATTATCAAATTTCTCTGCCAGGTGGGGTCATAGCTTTGTCTACCAAGTGGGGTCATAGCTTTGTATCTGCCAGGTGGGGTCATAGCTTTGTATCTGCCAGGTGGAGTCATAGCTTTGTGTCTGCCTGGTGGGATCATAGCTTTCTCTGCCAGGTGGGGTCGTTGGCTTTGTGTCTGCCTGGTGGGTCGTAGGTTTTGTTTGTGGTAATGGGCCTGATATAGTGCCTGGTAAATGAAAGTTAATCAGGCAGTGACCATGGTCGTTCATGGTAACATTCCAGAGCCCCATCCCTCAGACAAGAGGACATAGTAACCAACCAAGGAGTTGTACTTCCGAGTAAGGACTAATTTTTTTAGCAGATGCATTTGTTTGATATCGTGTTATGCATAAACATAATATATTTATGCTGGTGCATATTTTCTAAACTTTGATAAATTTGTATTTTGCTATATTTTTGAGTTTCATAAGAAAGCCTCTAATGTATATGAACCTGCATCATAATTTAAAAAATTGTAAAAAAAAAAAAAAAAAAAAAAAATTAGTATATATTCCTCATATCAATCTTTCTTCTGTTTCAGAGAGCTCAAAAATATTTGTTACCACTTACAGTGTTTTACTTTGTCATGTACTTCACCAACCAAGGACTGGTAAGCTGAGATTATCAGTTATGCTTTGGTACAGATATACTTCTATATCAGATATGGGCCCATAGGTATATTGCAGTGCTCCTCTGTATTCATGTTTAGACAATGGACCAAGTAATACTATTGGTGATAGGAATTTGACGGGTCAGGCACGTGCATTATACTATAAACATAATTACATGTTAACTAGCAAAAACAAATCCTATAATGGATAATAACTAATGGATTGTTTCCTCTTTTCCATGTATGTGATCATCAGCTAGAGTTAGTGTACTTCCCAGCATCACAAATGACACATGCACAGCAGTACTCCTGGAGCAACACCATACGTTGCCTTGGTACCCTTATCTCCCGCAGTGCACACAAATTATTCCTTCTCTCCAGCACCTGGATTTACTCTGGTTTGGCTGTAAGTGATGTCAAAACAGTTTATTGACTCTGTTTATACTATGTATAGCATTTTATTTTTAAATAATGTTACTCCTTTATGTATTGTACCTGGTTTCAAATGTCCAAGTAGGAAATAATGTTGGGAACTATTCTGTGAAGAATAAAATAGTGGTTTCTGATGGTGGTTTATTCGTCAGGAAACTGTTAACAACTTAATCAGATGACAAGTTCACTGATCAAGCATCCGCTGGTCTACCTTAGGTTTTAAACTCCATGTGGAAAAATAAGATCATTACTTGTTTTACTACGAGAGCTAAATCAATAGACGTCATATAGTTCCTTGAAAATAGGAAAGCTCCATTTCCACGAGTCCAGAATCTTCAAACCACCTGGATCACTACATAGTGTATCTTAAGATAAGTTTCATCTTAGTATTCTAAAGGCAGTTCCTTAATTTAACAATAGTTGCTACTTGCTGCATTCTAGATACTATACTGTATTAGCATTATTATTATTATAATCAAGGGGGAAGCGCTAAACCCGGAGGATTATACAGCGCCTGGGGGGGGGGATGTGGAAGGCATTCAGGCTTAATTCGGGGAACTGGAGCACAGATCCAATTCCCTAAATCAAGAGCCCCTCACCAACATCAAGGAACCTTCCTTGAGGGGCTACTGTATTAGCAATATTGTGACTGGCAAATGTAGAATATTATACTATCTGTTTTTTTAATCTTGGTAGCCTATCTATGATTTAGTAAATAAATCATTAGTATTTTATTCACACATAAGCTCTAAATCTGTAGGATCATACAGGACCTGGAAAAAAGGATTTATTAATATCATCATCATTAGTAACAGTAGGTTGGTAGACAGCAGGTGCCAGGGAGGTTCTACTGTCCTGCCAAGTAAGTGTAAAACGGAAGCCTGTAATTGTTTTACATGATGGTAGGGTTGCTGGCATCTTTTCTGTCTCATAAACATCCAAGATTTTGGGCTACACTTCTTCATTGGGATATGGCCGGTTTGTTGAAAGAAGATCATTATTATTATTTAGAATGTAGGGAAATGTATACATTTTACTTTCGTTCTTCTTTCCTGTGAAGATGCTAGAAACAATCACTTTTTTGTCTTCCTGCAGATGGTAATCCTGGTAGTGGTAGGAATGGAGGCACACTACCACTACCTACCATCAGAATACATCATCTTTACACTGCTTTTCCTACAGGGTCTTCTGGAAGGTGCTGCCTTCAGGTCAACAGTATTCACTGTGCATGAAAAGGTAAGATTATAAAAAAAAGCAGTTGAACAATTGCATTTGTTACTAGTAATGCACAGTGATAACCTCATTACTGTACCTTGTATTAAATCATAGCTATAATTTGTACTATGTAGGAGAGAGTTATTGTAATCAAAACTAAGATGTAGGAGAGAAGGAATATTAATTGGCACTTTTCCAGTAAACTCTTGCTGTCATCAGGATAAGAAGAAACCTAAGTACACTGCAAATATGATACAGAATGTATATTTGGCATTCCTAGGACCTTGACTTTGAAATAATGATTTATTGTATAAAAAAATGCTTTTCGTGTTTAATAAGTGAAAAGTGTTTCATCAGCTTGATAGTCCACATACCATTTAGACAAAAGAGACAGTATCCTGCAAATGGATAGATACATTTTAACTGGAAATCAACGAAAACATAACTTTATTAAGGACCTCGATAATGTGCATTGATACCCTTTACCCTGTCTCCAAACTTCTGGTCTCTAATGCCAACAACTTTGCCATGTATCTCTGAACGACTCAAATTGCTTTTTATTGTAATTAGGAATGTGTGTACATGTGTGTGTCCATGTACATACTCGCCTATTTGTGGTTGCAGGGGTCAGTTGACAGCTCCTGTCCCCGCTTCTTCACTGGTCACTACTAGGCCCACTCCCTGCTCCATGAGCTTTATCATATCTCTTCTTAAAGCTATGTATGGATCCTGTCTCTACTACATCACTCTCCAGATTGTTCCACTTCCTTACAATTATATGACTGAAGAAATACTTCCTTACCTCCCTGTGACTCATCAAAGTTTTCAACTTCCAGCTATGTCCCATCTCTGAAACATCCTATCCCTATCCACCTTGCCAATTCCTCTCGGTATTTTATATATCGTCATCACGTCTTCCCTATCCTCTAGTGTCTTCAGGTTGATTTCCCTTAACTTCTCCTCGTAGGACGTACTGCTTAGCTCCGGGACAAATCTTGTTGCAAACCCTTACACTTTCTCAAATTTCTTGATGTGCTTGACAAGGTGTGGGTTCCATACTGGTGCTGCATACTCTAATATGGACCTGGCATGAATGGTGTACAGTCTTTTGAATGGTTCCTTACTTAAGTGTCGAAATGCTATTCTTAGGTTTGCCAGGTATCCATGTGCTGCAGCAATTATTTGGTTGACATGCGCCTCAGATGTGCTCGGTATTATACTCGCCCCAAGATCCTTTTCTTTGAGTGAGGGGTTGCAGTCTCTGGCCTCCTAGCTTGTACTCTGTGGTTTTCTTTGACCTTCACCAATTTTCATGACTTTGCACTTGGGGGGGTTAAACTCCAGGAGCTGGCTGTTGGACCAGATCCCTTTGTAGTCCTACTTGAGCCTCGTGCACTTCAATTCTCCGTATTAGCCTCACATCGTCTACAAGCAGGAGCACCTCTGAATCTATCCCTTCTGTCATATCATTCACATATACCAGAAAATGCACCGACCCTAGGACTGACCTTGTGAAACCTCACTCGTCAAAGGGCGACCACTCTGATACCTTGTCACGTACCATCACTTGTTTCCTTCCTGTCAGGTATTCTCTGATCCATTGCAGTGCCTTTCCTGTTATTCCTGCCTGCTCCTCTAACTCTTACACTAATCTCTTGTGCGGAATTATGTCAAAAGCCTTAGTCCAAGAAAATGTAGTTTACTCACCCCTCTCTCTCTCTCTCTCTCTCTCTCTCTCTCTCTCTCTCTCTCCTGCGATACTTCTGTTGCCTTGTCATAAAACTCCAGCAGATTTGTGACACAGGATTTCCCCTTCCTGAAACCATGCTGTTTATCATGTATAAGCTCTTTCTTGGCACTCCAAGGTCTTCTGATAAGCTTCTCCATGATATGTCAGTGACACTGGTCTGTAGTTTAATGTTACCTATCTCCTTTCTTAAAGATTAGGACTACATTTGCTGTCATCCATACCTTAGGCAGTTGCCATTTCAATAGATGTGTTGAAGATTGTTCGTGGCACACAGTGCCTCTGCTCCCTCTCTCATGACCCACAGATATATATCCAGTCCCACTGCCTTTGAGGTATCTAGCTCACTTAGCAGCCTCATCACCTCAGTTGTGTGTAGTGTGTCCAGCACTTGTTGGTGTACCCTTCATCCCAGTTTGCTGGCATCCTTTCTGTCTCCACTGAAAATACTTCTTTAAATTTTGTCTTGAGCTCTTCACATACTTTTTGGTCATTTCTAGTGATCTCCCCTCCTTCCTTTCTCAGCCTGATTACCTCATCCTTGACTTGTTTTCCTCCTGATATAGCTGTACAGCTGCTTTGTGTCAGAGTTGACTTTTGATGCTGTGTTATTCTTGTATTGCTGCTGGGCCTCCCTCCTTATCCATGATTATTTGTTTCTGGTTCTTCGGCTAATCTCCTTATTTTCCTGAGTCTGTCTTCTATTATTATATAAAAAGGAAGTGCTAAACCTACAAGGGTCATACAATGTGTGTGTTGGGGGGGGGGGGTCAGTGTGTAAGGATACAAATACATAGTAATGATTTGGACACCATTAGAGAAGGATTTGCATTAGAGCATTGTGGAACTTAACATATTTTCTTTCTTTTCAGGCTGGTGACAAGGAACGAGAATTTTGTTTGGGAATTTTCCCTGTATCTTTATTTCTTCCAGCAATGCTAGCTGGATTTGCCTCCATACCTGTTCACGATGTGCTTTGTCAGAACCACCTTTATCTGCAATAATATACATGACCAGTACTGGGAGAAATACAAATATGTTCAACTTGTCTCTATAATCTTAATTCAGGAATAAGCAGCCTTATGTGATTTGACATTGCATGTACATAGCTAAGTGTAGCTTTCATCCAATATATCAACAGTAAATGTTAATAGTGTCTTGAATAGCACTCCCAAAGAATGTACTGCATGAGAATTGCCTATATTGTACAAGAGAATTGACGATATTTAATTGACTTCAGGTCTTTAACAATTAGGAAGACATTACTCTTACATGTGATGGGGCCTACCATCATCTACACTTCCATTCGTCTTTTTTTTTTTTTTTTTTTTTTGCTGTCAGATCCACAAATGACAACATTATACAGTATATTCATTTATATTTCACTCCTGGCCTGTTGTAACTAACATTTAATGTAACCTAATTATAATGATGTATACATTATATTCAAACATACAACTGTATGAAATTTACATCTATAATATATATATTTAGCAAAACTATTTTTTTTTTTTTTTTTTTTTGCTGCCTCTCACCAAGGCAGGGGATACAAAGTTTTAATGGCTATAATCATAACCATGATTTTTAAAGGGATAGACTGGTAAGTCAGCAGAAATCTTCGGTCAGATGACCAAAAGCTCCAGCTGTGGATCATCATATGACTAAGACCCACATCAAGAAACACTTGTCCTGTTTCCTGACAAACATTATATCTACAACCAAAGTAGGGTAACATTTATATACCATACAAATTCCAGCTTGGAAATATCCACACTGGGGGTCTAAGAAACAGTTACCTATGTAGTAAGTGTGCGTATATTTTTTTTAGTTGGCTGAACTTTGCAAATATTACTTGGACAGTCTCTCTATATCTTGTTCAGAGACTAGCCTCTTACTGCTCAGATTATCTGAAGTTTATCTTAAGTTAGAAAGTTCCATATGTTATGGTAAGAGAATTTATATACTGCAATCTCAGAACAATCTAAGCTGTTCAACTACTGTTTGCAGCTACACTTCATGTCAATTACGTACAGCTTAATTTCCAGTTAAAATTCGTAAGAATTATGTGCAACTACCTTTCACACACACATTTTGTTGTTGTAAAGCTGCATCTGTTACACTTCAGGTGAATTACACTGTGCAACTGAATTTCACGACACCGTAGTTCTTTGTTAGGTTGTCTGGCTCCTATAACTGTGCTAACTAAACCTTTCAAATTCAGATTTTTATTTCTTTGCAAGTTTACAATGAGATTGACATGTTGGAGGGAGTTGTATTTACATAGTTTACAGTGTGTAATTACAATAATGATTTGCAGTGCAAAGAACCACTATCATATGATGCCTTGGCATTACAGGCAGTCTAAATTTAACGGTTTACAGACTACTAAACAGTAGATAAATAGATCGTAGTGTGTTCAAGTTGTACATCTGTTTGTATATATAGCAAATAGTAAATTGACTCAAATTACAATATGAGAATATTACAATGGGACAAGTTGATAGTAGTATACAGGTTGTATATATCAATAGTGAAATGATTTAAATTACAATATGGGAATATTACAATGTGCCATGTTGAAAGTAAAGTAAAAGGACACAAGTGCAACTAATGTGACATTTTATTGTGGCAACGTTTCGCTCTCCAGGAGCTTTATCAAGCCATTACAAACAATACATGGACACAGAGGGTATATATATAGGCAGAGTGAGGTGCAATACTAGTGGTAGTAGTAGTGACAAAAGTTGTAGTAGTAGTAGTAATGCAATATGGTAGAGCAATTAATTCATACATGAGTAAAAAGATATAAAAGCTATTACTTGGGTAACATAAAAATAGGTTGGACAAATATAGATTGGATAGAGGCAGCCTGTTTCAGTGTTCACTCTCTGTAATGTGCTTTGTGTAGTATAACAGGAGAGACTATGTGATGGCAAGGTTTACTGTTTTCAGAAGGATTCTTGCTAAGACTTCAGAGATGGTGAAGCTGCTGTAGTTTTGTTTAATTGTATTCGAAACAGCGATCAGTGCTGATTCGAGGCACTTGCGTCTGTGGAAATTAGTTTCTTTGATCACTAATTGGGCGTCCTTGAATTTCATGAGATGATTGGTGGAATTTCGGTGTTGTACACAGGCGTTGTTCAAGTTATCGTTCCTACATGCGTAAATGTGTTCATTGAGGTGGGTGTCGAGGTTTCTTGCTGTTTCACCTACGTAAATCTTGTCACAGCCTCCACAGGGTATAGTGTAAACTCCTGCATTGACTGGTTCGTGGTGCTTTGATTTTGTCCTGGTTAGATCCTTTATTGAAGTGCTAGAAGCGATGGCGACTCGGGTGTTAGCTTGTGAAAGTACTTTAGAAACGTTCAGTGCAACCTGGCTGTTGGGAAGAATTATAACTTTGTACAACACCGAAATTCCACCAAATCATCTCATGAAATTCAGGGACGCCCAATTAGTGATCAAAGAAACTAATTTCTGCAGACACAAGTGCCTCGAATCAGCACTGATCGCTGTTTCGAATACAATTAAACAAAATAACGGCAGCTTCACCATCTCTGAAGTCTTAGCAAGAATCCTCCTGAAAACAGTAAACCCTGCCATCACATAGTCTCTCCTGTTATACTACACAAAGCACATTACAAAGAGTGAACACTGAAACAGGCTGCCTCTATCCAATCCATATTTGTCCAACCTATTTTTGTTACCCAAGTAATAGCTTTTATATCCTTTTACTCATGTACGAATTAATTGCTCTACCATATTGCATTACTACTACTACTACCACTAGTATTGCACCTCACTCTGAGCCTATATATACCCTCTGTGTCCATACATTGTAATGGCTTGATAAAGCTCCTGGAGAGCAAAACGTTGCCACAATAAAATGTCACATTAGTTGCACTTGTGTCCTTTTACTTTACTTTTAAATGTTAAGGAAGAAAGAGAGGCAGTAATTTCATCCACTGGTCAGGGAGGTATACCATCTTTTAGGAGTGAAGAAGAGCAAAATGTAAGTGTGGGGGAGGTACGTGAGGCATTACGTAGAATGAAAGGGGGTAAAGCAGCTGGAACTGATGGGATAATGACAGAAATGTTAAAAGCAGGGGGAGGGGTATAGTGTTGGAGTGGTTGGTACTTTTGTTTAATATATATATGAAAGAGGGGAAGGTACCTAGGGATTGGCAGAGAGCATGTATAGTTCCTTTATATAAAGGGAAAGGGGACAAAAGAGACTAAAAATTATAGAGGAATAAGTTTACTGAGTATACCAGGAAAAGTGTACGGTAGGGTTATAATTGAAAGAATTAGAGGTAAGGCAGAATGTAGGATTGCGGATGAGCAAGGAGGTTTCAGAGTGGGTAGGGGATGTGTAGATCAAGTGTTTATTTTGAAGCATATATGTGAACAATATTTAGATAAAGGTAGGGAAGTTTTTATTGCATTTATGGATTTAGAAAAGGCATATGATAGTGGATAGAGGAACTATGTGGCAGATGTTGCAAGTATATGGAATAGGTGGTAAGTTATTAAATGCTGTAAAGAGTTTTTGAGGATAGTGAGGCTCAGGTTAGGGTGTGTAGAAGAGAGGGAGACTACTTCCCGGTAAAAGTAGGTCTTAGACAGGGATGTGTAATGTCACCATGGTTGTTTAATATATTTATAGATGGGGTTGTAAAGGAAGTAAATGCTAGGGTGTTTGGGAGAGGGGTGGGATTAAATTTTGGGGAATCAAATTCAAAATGGGAATTGACAGTTACTTTTTGCTGATGATACTGGGCTTATGGGAGATTCTAAAGAAAAATTGCAAAGGTTAGTGGATGAGTTTGGGAATGTGTGTGAAGGTAGAAAGTTGAAAGTGAACATAGAAAGAGTAAGGTGATGAGGGTATCAAATGATTTAGATAAGAAAAATTAGATATCAAATTGGGGAGGAGGAGTATGGAAGAAGTGAATGTTTTCAGATACTTGGGAGTTGACGTGTCAGCGGATGGATTTATGAAGGATGAGGTTAATCATAGAATTGATGAGGGAAAAAAGGTGAGTGGTGCGTTGAGGTATATGTGGAGTCAAAAAACGTTATCTATGGAGGCAAAGAAGGGAATGTATGAAAGTATAGTAGTACCAACACTCTTATATGGGTGTGAAGCTTGGGTGGTAAATGCAGCAGCGAGGAGACGGTTGGAGGCAGTGGAGATGTCCTGTTTAAGGGCAATGTGTGGTGTAAGTGTTATGCAGAAAATTCGGAGTGTGGAAATTAGGAAAAGATGTGGAGTTAATAAAAGTATTAGTCAGAGGGCAGAAGAGGGGTTGTTGAGGTGGTTTGGTCATGTAGAGAGAATGGATCAAAGTAGAATGACATGGAAAGCATATAAATCTATAGGGTAAGGAAGGCGGGGTAGGGGTCGTCCTCGAAAGGGTTGGAGAGAGGGGGGTAAAGGAGGTTTTGTGGGCAAGGGGCTTGGACTTCCAGCAAGCGTGCGTGAGCGTGTTAGATAGGAGTGAATGGAGACGAATGGTACTTGGGACCTGACGATCTGTTGGAGTGTGAGCAGGGTAATATTTAGTGAAGGGATTCAGGGAAACCGGTTATTTTCATATAGTCGGACTTGAGTCCTGGAAATGGGAAGTACAATGCCTGCACTTTAAAGGAGGGGTTTGGGATATTGGCAGTTTGGAGGGATATGTTGTGTATCTTCATATGTGTATGCTTCTAAACTGTTGTGTTCTGAGCACCTCTGCAAAAACAGTGATAATGTGTGAGTGTGGTGAAAGTGTTGAATGATGATGAAAGTATTTTCTTTTTGGGGATTTTCTTTCTTTTTTGGGTCACCCTGCCTCGGTGGGAGACGGCCGACTTGTTGGAAAAAAAAAAAATTGTCGGTAATTCTACCAACTTTATTACAATGTTGAAAGTAGTTTACAGTATGAGATTGTTACAATTATGTTGGTACAATTTTGTGCAGGTATTGATTTTCTACAATGTAGTATTAAGTAATGTAATGAACTTTGAACATCTATTTTTGAAGTTTTGAGATTTAGGTGTGTGACACATTAAGTAACTCCATTAATAAATTTGCAAAGAAACAAAGCAGGAAACAAAACCAATATACCACCATTCATATGTAAGAAAAGTGCTTATACTACTGTGTTCTATTGTAGCATTATTCAACAAATCTATAGACCAAAACTTTCCTGAACATACTTTAACTAGCAAGGGTTAACACTAATCCACAAAACTGGAAACCCAACAGAAATCAATTACAACCCAGTTTTCAAGTCACATAAAATTTAAAAAAAATGTATAAATATATACTTTCATAACTGAACATAATAATCCTTGCCAGTTTGATTTCTGGAGAGGAAAAGGTACAAAGGCTGTAGAAATAAGCATTTGACTTCCTTTTTTCTTACTCACAGTATAATAAGCAATGGGGGTTGTTAGTGATTAAAGAAAAACTTTTGGTACAGAAAACCACAACACCCTGCTACTTGAAGTAGAACATTATGGAGTCTGACCCTTCAAGGAATGTGCCTTTATGCCAGAAAGAGGCTCTTGACCCCCCCCCCCCCCCAAAAAAAAAAAAAAAAAGATTTTCCCTCCCTTTTATTAAACGTGAATGTTTCTCATTACAAACCCTACCCCTCAAGGGAAGTTCCTTGATGCCGGTGAGGGGCTCTTCATCTAAGGACTTAGACCTGTGCTTCCCTTCCTTAGATCAAACTTAAATGTTTCGCATTCTCCCAAGCACAAGAGGGCCCTGCTCATACAGCAGGTTACGTTTCAGGCTGCTGCTGCAAAGCAAAAATCACTGTAAAGTGAAACAGGCTTTTTTCACTTTCAAATGCATGTAAAAGCCTGATAACATATTACACTATCATATATTAAGTAAGCAACAGAGCAAGGCCTAAAAAGTGCATATACAGTACACGCATTGCTTACATTAAAATACTTTCATCCTTAGCTTATAGTGAGTGGTGAATATATTTGTTGTAAGAAGTCTGAATAAATGAAAAATGGGTATTACTGAAAACTGCTGCATTAGTGAAATGCCATTAAGCAAAGCGCTGTAAGATTGTGCCCCATCTGTACTGTATAACCCTTACAGCTTTCCCAAGAATATAATAACACATGACCCTTAAAGCTTTAGAGCTAGACTGATAGAAACAGACACACATTTATGTGTAACAGTAAAAGCCAAGGCAGTGCACGATCATCAA